CCCAGCATGACAGACTCCAAGGCTTCTTTTCATGCCGTGTATGTTATTTTAATGCTCAAAACAATATCTGTCCTAAGAAACATTTTAAATGTATAGCATACTTATTAAAGAATATATTTAAATATGTATTTTAATTTTTTACTGAAGTGTAGTCAGTTTATAATGTTAGTTTCAAGTGTACCTGCAAAGCAATTCAGTTATACATATAAAAATACATATGTTTTTAAACGTCCTCTTCTTTTGTCGAGGAATGCAAAATGGAATTAGGTGCTTTGAAGTTAATTCTTTGTTGAAATCTGCATGTAAGTCAGTATTTTGTCTGTGAAAATCTTTGCTCTAGCTTTCCATGCTCAGTTTACAGAGTCAAAAGCCAACTGAAGATAAAAGATAGACTTGATCTAAAGAGTGTATATGAAATTTTCTATTTAAATGTTTGGGTTTCCAGGATATGCTTATTTTGTTTTCGAGTCTAATTGCTTTTAAAGTAGGAAATTAAAAAATAATAATAAGGTAGGAAATGCAGGTATTTTCTTAGAAAGGGATCAGGAAATCTTTATGCAACTCATCATTAATACTAATTTTAACAGAGTATCTCCGAGATTGAACTACCGAACCGTGTTGATAATTTATCTGGAGCTGCAGGTCTAGGAGAAAAAAAGACATTAAATGGACAAGTAGAAAGTAAGTACTGTATTTTATTCCAAAAAAAGTCGTTTTAAATCAACATTCTGTAAAATATGGATTTGGATCTGTTCTCTCAGCCAAAGAACATCACCTGTTGAACATATAGTGAGAAAAAAGAGGAGAAAAGGAAGTAAATTGTATATCTTACCAGGTGTCAGCAACAGATTAAACTAGAATGCTGTTTAAGGAGCTCAGTTGTCAGCTTTCTTTCAAGATGCTCTGTGACCTGAGGACAGTCAGGAAACCAGGAGGAGGGAAGGAGGGAGCGAAGAATGAGGGAGGTAGAGAGGAGGGGAGTAAATGAAGGAAAAGGAGGGGGGTCCCTGGCAGGAGGTGGTAATGTAGAATAGTTCTTTAGAAGAAGGAAGAGAAGAGTGTTTGAAATGAGACGGGTATGAAGTGAACTCCTTCCAGCACCAAACCTTGTCCGGGAGGCAGGGCAGAATGTCCCACTCCCTCGTCCCCTGACCCTTAGGAAGGCGGTGAGGACTGCGGTACCTGATCCCGCAGAGCTGGGTGTGGCTGCCGGTGAGCACAGGCGGGTGTGGTCAGCTGTCAGTGTCTGGACCTTCGTGTCATGCAGCGTGTTGCTGCCTTATAGGATGGCGTCTCATAGGCCAACAGAAGAGAGTGGGAAAGAGGTGGAGAGCAGGGTGCGTTCCGGGGAGGTCAGGGGCGCTGGAGCCTGGTAAAGAGTTCACTGAAAAGTCTGCAAATCCTGATGCAGTTTTTGGGGAAGTGTTAACAGTGAGACGCGTGTGGCTGTTTCAGAGGGATCAGTTAAGTCCGAGTGCTATAGAAGCAGACGCGGTATAGACCAGAGTTTCTCAAATTTTAGTCACCTGGGGACCCAGTGAAAAGTGCACATTCTGAGTAGTGGGTCTGCGTTTCTAACAAGCTCTCAGGTGATGCCCTTGTTGCTGGTCTTCAGATCATGCTCAGAGGATAGACTTGTGTGTAGGGGAATCTGGAAGAAGAGCCACTGGGGAGTT